GTACAATTTAACTACTAAATTTAAATTATCAGTTTACTCAATTTCAGACCATTTGCAATTCTAATACGTAACATGATAAACAGTGTATCTGTATTTCTATACAGATCCCACTTTCATTTTGATAAACAGTGTATTTGTATTTCTATTGACTAATGCTGCTTTCTCTTTCAGAGAAACTTATACCTATAAATAAGGTATATATAAATAAATAAATTATACCTATAAAACCTACTTTTAGGCTGGTAAAACACATCGCATACTTATCGCTGTAGAAATCCTACTTTGAAGTCCCCCGGTGGGACGTCGGTAAGCCTTCGGATTTATAACGCTGAAATCAGTGGTTTGAGTCCTCTCGGTGAATACAACTGATAGCCCGATGTGACTTTGTTATACCAATACACCTATTTTGAAAAAAGCTATATCCCAGTCACTATGTAGATAATAACTTCAATTTGAGGAAATATAAACGAATATTTATAAACAACTTACTTGTACTGTGATAAGAACTGTATTCTCACCATTATAAGAGTCTACAGACACTTTGGGAGCAGTTATCCCCGAAAGTATGGGGATGCTGCTTTAGTTTGATACACAGCATATCTTCGTCTTTAATCGGAAGCCAACTAATAGTTGTTTACAGATCTTTACCTTCAAGACAGCTCTCCTCGTTAATATGCAGATTCTATGTTCTCTATGTTAGATAACTTATACCGTCATTATATAGGTCCTATTTTCACCTTGATAACAAGTATCCTTTACCACGTGTTTCCAACTTTAAGTTTGCAAGACAGCGTATCTCACCATTGTATAGGTCCTATTTTCACCTTGATAACAAGTATCCTTTACCACGTGTTTCCAACTTTAAGTTTGAAAGATAGCGTATCTCACCATTAAATAGGTCCTATTTTCACCTTGATAACAAGTATCCTTTACCATGTGTTTCCAACTTTACGTTTGCAAGACAGCGTATCTCACCATTATATAGGTCTATTTTCACCTTGATAATAAGTACCCATTATCACGTGTTTCCAACTTTAAGTTTGCAAGACAGCGTATCTCACCATTATATAGGTCCTATTTTCACCTTGATAACAAGTACCCATTACCACGTGTTTCCAACTTTAAGTTTGCAAGACAGCGTATCTCACCATTATATAGGTCCTATTTTCACCTTGATAACAAATATCCTTTACCACGTGTTTCCAACTTTAAGTTTGGTAGATAGCATATCTCACCACTATATAGGTCCTATATTCACCTTGATAACAAGTGTCCTTTACCATGTGTTTCCAACTTTAAGTTTGCAAGACAGCGTATCTCACCATTATATAGGTCCTATGTTCACCTTGATAACAAGTGTCCTTTACCATGTGTTTCCTACTTTAGGTTTGATAGTTGTGTATGTCTGTCACTCTAGGGAATAGATGCGATCTACTTGATCTTCGTATCTTTTGTTATTGTAGGATGAAAGATGTGAAAGTGATTAACTTGAACAATTCATTAAATTAGTTTGTTTTTAATTTTAAGTTATACATTTTTGAGGTCTTGTTATGTGTTAGTTATCTACCAGAAGCATGAAGTAAAAGTCTATGATGAAAACGTTGTTCGGGGAAACACTGCACTTCTGCGATGCGTTATACCGAGCAACGTTACTGACTACGTCACTGTGACGTCATGGACCCTATCTGACGGTCTCATCATATTCCCTTCACAATCATACGGTAACAATTTTGTTGTGTTTTAGTATTTTTGATATAAATTATATTGGTCTATCTCGATTTAAATCAAATTGCCTTGGAGCTTAAATTTTATTGTTTTTTTATTCTATAAAGAAACATTGACGAATTTGTACGTGTGATGCACTGCAATGCTTTCGACAGTTTTAGCTACCTATTGATAGGTTAGATAGGTGCAGTGCTATGCAAGTATATCATACTTATAAGATCTGTACAATTACAAGTTTAGTTTGTTGTGTTTATGTGAATGTAATTCAATATCATCGCAGGAAGGGATAATTTTTTCAAAAGACAACAATACGATGTTCCTTATTCACTAGCGACTGAAAGAGTTTGTGAACACAAAAGTTTCGTAAAATAATTGACATGTCGATTAATGTTCGATTTTTTCACGTTTCGTTGTCGTTTAGATTCGATCGCCAAGCATGTGGCATTTCCCACGGGAGAGTTACATGTCCGCCACGCGGATCATAGTGATGGTGACGTAAGCTACAGGTGTCACGTGACAGACCGTCTCGCCCGACAGAGCTTCCAAAGCGCGACTTTGGGTCGATTGATTGTCATAGGTAAGAAAATCTAATTAAGGTTTAATTACCAGTTCAAATGAACAACCCTGTAGTCATATCAATATTTAATTGCTTGCAGTTGGACCACGAATACTGAGTAATTGATATACGTTTTAATTAATGAACTAAAATATTAATTTTTCAAATATCAAATATTCTCCTACTTATATAAATATCTTGATCATAATGTACGTAGATATCGATGTGTACAGGTACTTTTATTATACAAAAGTTGAGTACGTTATATTAGAACGATTTTGGAGCCTCGCCATCGTTCAGTCCATGTCGTCTCGTCTAGTCGTGCTTTATCTGATGACCATGCATTTTGACAATAGTCCTGCAGCGTAGTTCCATTGCAAAAGACTCCTCTATAAAGTTGTCACATCCAAACCACAATACTCCTCCCTGCAGTGTTTCTATGGTCCATTTAATTTATGAAGAAGTAGGTTTCCCACTTACCGATTCAACTGTAAGCCTGCTGCTTCCTGTGACTTAAGTGATATGTCTATGTATGGAATAGCATGAATGGGTACCAGTTTCATTCCTCAGCTATGAGATGGATGAACAGGAGATATGACTTGAAGCCTCATCTTGGTGAATCCATACCCATAAGTTTTGCTACTGACATTTGTGTTTGTGAATTCTCAACTGGGTTACGACATATCCCAGTTCTCTTTCTGGATGGACCTGGTGCCTCAAGATAACAAGTATTCCTTTGTCTCATACATTCTAAACCCTCAATCTGAACATATCATTATGATCAGAGTGTATGAATATCTTTTGCCTTGAAGGGTTGTTACATACCCTTTCCAAAAACGATCAATGTTCGGTGGCATCACGCTACCGGCGTAACGCCAAACAATATCAAAATGTAGTTGTGATACATGTCGTCCGTCTACCGCGACTGTATATCAGGATACGTATCGTGACTTATTCATATTCAAAAGTCGTTTTAATATAATCCTCCAGTGGTTAAGCGGTGCAGCTTAAAACGAAAAAAATATGACATGTATTAGCTTTACTGTATCTAAGGAAGTGAGACTATTATTACATGTATTAGCTTTACTGTATCTAAGGGAGTGAGACTATTATTACATGTATTAGCTTTACTGTATCTAAGGGAGTGAGACTATTATTACAAATATTAGCTTTACTGTGTCTAAGGAAGTGAGACTAGTATTACATGTATTAGCTTTACTGTATCTAAGGGAGTGAGACTATTATTACAAGTATTAGCTTTACTGTATCTGAGGGAGTGAGACTATCTTTCTGAATAAAAGAATAAAATAAAAATATTTCACCACGAACTCGTTAAACGAAGCTTTTCACGACCGGCTGGATTTTATTTCTTGGTCACTGGACCATTTTGGTCTTTCAAGAGACTTCTATTCTTTCAGGGCAAGCTATAGCTTAACTCGCTTTTTAGGATGAAATTAAGGCTGCGCTCCTATATACATTGGAGTACTTGGCGCCCCCGAGAAATCAGAGGCCTATATCCGTCTGGTTTTCTTCTATACCAAGTTTATAACTGTGTATTAGCTGTAAAGATAACTTTGACGCGCAATAAATGTTTTTTTTTGTTTTTTTTTAAATAATAATTGTGTTTTCTACAGCCTCACTTGCTTTGAATTCTGCAAAACCGTATACACAGCCAGGAGGGGAGAGATACAAAGCTTAACTCTTCCCCCCCCCACACACACACACCGGGTTTCGGTACCTGTGATGAGCACAGCACAGCTAGCCCATTATACAACTTTATTATTAACAACAAACAAATAATTTTTGCTTTAAAACATTTTTCTCGGGTTACAAAAATACTGTATCTCCTCCCCTATGATTTTCCCTAACAATCACACTGCTCCTAACAACAGTGTAGCAGACTTTCGTTTGAAGTCTGTAAGGACCCAGTACAGGGAACTTGTTATAGAAAGCTCTGTAGTCAAACTGGGTGAGACAAGATAAAAAGTTACATTACCTTATGAACTTGCCCTCATCTCACCAATCACATCGTGATCTCCACGCAAGTATCACACAGATGTTAAGGCAACATATGCTCACAATCACAACAATCCTTCAGCAAAATCGATGCTTTGCTTTCTTCAAGGAACATTTATTAACTACCCATGCAGCGATACTCCCCTCCTTCTTTTTCAGACTCAGTGCTCCTGATCATATTATACACTAAAATAATAGTGAAATACGATATACTAGAAGCGCTAACTACGGGTTATAATAGACCTGATATAATCGATATTTCTCACTTTCCAAAGGAGTCTTCACGCTCAATAGAACTAAAGTAGGCCAGAACTAAATGTTTCTGTCAATTTAATGCTATTTAGAATTTTGATGCGTTTCACTCGGACTATGGGCCTGAGGATATTTACTTCGATTTTTTTTCTTTAAATCGATAATATTCACAAGATCTTCCATCTTTTCTAGGAATCATTTCTCTGTGCTAACCACATTTTTGTTTTGAGAAACGTTTATTTTCACTTCTTTAAGAAAATAAAATCGGAAAAAAGATGCATGAACCACTGATGATTCTGTGAAGAAAAATGAACAAACAACATTAGAACAATCTTGTGACAACTTTAGAACAATCTTGTGAAAAAACAAAAACAATTTCGACTCAAAATCAAAATTAAGACAATGATCGAAAATGCACATTAGAATTTTTTATGTTTTTTATGACGAATCACATTGCGCGTATAGTCCAGTAAATGTAATGAAATGCTTTTTTCAATACTTACTCTGATGTTTTATAAGTTTTTAACTAATTTTAATAATATCAGCTATAAGCTTAACTGTCTACATATCTATCTGTCTGTCAAGTTGATAAATTATGTAACTCAATCACATACGGCCAATGTTCTTAACAAACTGTTCCCATGCAAGAACTGTAGGTATAGTACTTTAACTTTTAAGAAGTGAAGTTCAACTCGAAGCGCTGGCGGAAAGATGGTGTCTTTACTGTATGGAGAGGCTACTTCAAACACTTTAACTGTACATTCAGAGAAAAATAACAGCAAAACCTAAACTAGATGAAATGATCTACAAATTAATTACTGACAGGCACTTCCAGTTATCAGAATCTTTACATGAATTAGTAACATATGTAGTGTTACAGTTATTAACAGTAGTTACTGACAGACTACATTTATCAGAATCTTTACACGAATTAGAAACATATGTGGTGTTACAGTTATTAACAGTAGTTACACACATACCTACATTTATCAGAATCTTTACACGAATTAGTAACATGTGTGGTGTTACAGTTATTAACAGTAGTTACACACATACCTACATTTATCAGAATCTTTACACGAATTAGTAACATGTGTGGTGTTACAGTTATTAACAGTAGTTACA